ATCAATTAGGAGATGGAAAGTGTACAATTTATGAACGTTATGTATAGGTTAGGAGCAGAAGTCAACTATTTGGCCCCTGTACTGCCATTTGGTAAAATCATAGCTGATCAGATTGTGGCCTCAAGTCTCCTTTCCTGTATATCCCCTATATCTTTTATTCTTTTGTCAATCACAAATCTAAATTAAGCCTTAAAAATTTTGAATGACACATCCTCCACTGCTCTCTGCAAGAGTACACCGTGGACCACCAATCCTCAGAGAAGAAAATTTCTTACCTCCATCATATAAAGGAGATCTCACTTTGAACCTGTGCCCCCTAATTTTCATCTCTTCCATAAAGTGAATCATCTTTTCACCATCCACCTTTTAAGACCCTTCAGGGTGTTCTCGGTTTCAATGTAGTCACATTCCATTCTTCTAAACTCCAATAAATACCAGCACAATATACACAATGTTTTCTTCCTCTGCTAAAAAATCAGCCACTTCCTTTTGCTGTAGGCTGAATCAGCACCACAGATGAATAATTTATCTGCACCAACATTTATATCGGTAACACCAGCTAATATCTATTGAGATGGTAGATGATGCGATGGTTAATGTTTCACAAGGGTCTGCAATAAGGCTGCACTTACAAATATAATTAACCTGGATTGAAAACTGTGTGAGCAAAACGCAGAATTGCTGTGGTAAGGGAAAACAGAGTGGCAAACTGAAGCAAGGAAAGACAACAAGAGGTGCAATAAGTTAACAGATGGGCAGATCAGGTGATTCAAATATTCAATGTACAAAAATCTGAAGTAATACATTTTTGTAAGATTAGGGAAAGGAATTCTACTGTAAAAGATTCAGACTTTCAATCATTTTGTGGAATAGATGGATTTAGGTACATGGGTAAACAATTGATTGAAAGGTGGTCGTGCAAGCCTACCTAACAGGAAATTACATTTATATTACATGAAATTGAAAGCAAAGTACTTGGGTTGTTTGAAAGATGCCGTAATTTGCATGCAGAAATTAAAACTAATCTGTTTAAATAGAAACATCCAAGGAATATGCTTTGCAAATTAGTAAACATGTTTTCCACCTTATTGAGCTGAGGCAAAAGCATCCTTGTAATGAATCTCGATGCACGCAATCTAATCCTGCCCAGTTATTTTGCTATCATAGCATCTGGAACAGGAAGACTTTTTATTTGAGAAACCCTGGTTAAAAACAAAGCCAATAGTGAAAGACACTCCCAAGGTTGAAAAGATTGAAGTAGCAAATTATGAAGTAGTAACTCAATTCTGTGATAAAGCTTATCTAAAAGCAACTCCATGCTCGGTTTCATTACGTATTTACTTGGACCAGTATTAACTGTCTGATATCAACATTAATAAGACAGAAATGGGTTCAAAATGAGTCATTCGACACATTGCCAACTTTATGCCAACAGTCCAGCTGTTGCCATTTTGAAAGGGCTGGGATTCATGCCTGTTTCAGGAAATAGGTCCCTTAATTATGCAATTTTGGTGTCTTTGGATGAAGTAAAGAGTCCAATTGTAATTTTAAGGAATTGCGAGTAGAGTTTGCACCATTGGTAGAATGCTTCAACTGGCTTCACAAAATTCCTAAGGGCACTTTGCCTTCGTTTCCTCCTTAGAATTAAATATGGACCAGTTTTGTGGAGGAAATGGACAAAAATAATTTCCTGTCTATTTTAATCCAGAAACCAGGCTTACACCTACAACACAAGCTTCAAAATCTCCCCTCCCCCTACCGCATCCCAAAACCAGCCCAGCTCGTCCCCACCTCCCTAACCTGTCCTTTCTCCCACCTATCCCCTCCTCCCACCTCAAGCCCCACCCCCATCTCCTACCTACTAACCTCATCCCACCCCCTTGACCTGTCCGTCCTCCCTGGACTGACCTATCTCCTCCCTAACTCCCCACCTACACTCACCTTTACTGGCTCCATCCCCGCCTCTTTGACCTGTCTGTCTCCTCTCCACCTATCTTCTCCTCTATCCATCTTCTATCCGCCTACCCTTCTCTCCCTATTTATTTCAGAACCCCCTTCCCCTCCCCCATTTCTGAAGAAGGGTCTCGGCCCGAAATGTCAACCTTCCTGCTCCTCTGATGCTGCTTGGCCTGCTGTGTTCATCCAGCTCTACACCTTGTTATCTTATACCTACAACATGCAGGTTCCATTTAAATAAGGCTGGGCCCTAAAAAAAGGTTTTGGTTCCTTCAAAACATGGGTATTTCACTACAACAAAGATGAAATCAACTCAATTTACTTCCGAGAATGTGAAGGATTTCTTTCTCACTCTACGGTTGGTATATATGCTTAAATACGAGCTGAAATTAAGGGAAATAGAAAATGTAATTTCACCATCATTAAAGAGATGTCAGTGAGAATTCTCTGGAGCTTTGTAACAAACAGGTACGGACATAAAATTGGTGTGCAATTCATTCTTTCATCTTCTTGCTGACGTTGCTATTATCATCACTGTTTGAAGTGATGTTGGATATTAATAGTTCATCCAGACGTCAGCAGATATATTCAAAGTACATAATGACAACAAGGGCATAATACTTATCACTATTACTGCAGTTACAACACTGATTGCAACTCGTTACTGCCACCCAGCATCAGGAAAGGTCAGCGGACGATTGTTCAAAGTGTAAACTTTCTGACACCATCAATGTGAATACAGCATGTTACAACTGATTCTGCCCTCTCTCACAGAAACTGATAATTTCACAGAAACCTGTCTTCACCAGTAAACCGTCAACCTACTTCCACTGCTGGACAAACCCAAAGCCTACATGTGGCTGATAGTTTTCTACTTCAAGTTGCCAAGTTTCTATCCAACACCAACAAAAATTTTAATTGAGAAAATACCTCAAAATTTATAAATCAAATTCCACGGCACTTGAAACAAAACTTTTGTTTTCTTGAAACAAAACAAGAACTTCTAAAGAAGGGTCACTGAATCCAAAACATTAACTCCAATTTCTCTCCACAGATGTTGCCAGACCTGCATTTCCCCAGTGATATTTTATGTTTTTATTTCACATTTCCAGCATCCACTTTTCTTTGTTTCACCGTTTTTGTTCCATTGCACTCAAGGTACAATTAAAAACAAATGGATGCAGAGGCAACGTAGATAATATAAGGAAGGATGACCAAAAGTTTGGGGAGCTGGATTTTAAAGAGCACTTTAAAGGAGGCAAGGGAGCTGGAAAGGCAGAAGAAACTGTGAAAGGGAATTCTAGTGCTGAGAACCTAGACAGCTATAAGGCACAGCAGCCAACAGTTGGGTAAAAGGGAGAAGGATACAAAAGTCAGATGAACCAGGTAAGATAAATCATGGTAGGACTTACACTGTTAATGGTAGGGCTCTGGGGAGTGTTGTCGAAAGAGAGATCTGGGGTGCAAGTTCATAGTTTCTTGAAAGTGGCATCACAGGTAGACAGGGTGGTGAAGAAGGCAATTGGCACGCTTGCCTTCATTGATCAGAGTACTGAGTATAGGAGTTTTGACAACATATTGCTGCTGTACAAAACATTGGTGAGTCCATTTTTGGAGTACTACATACAATTCTGGTTGCCTTGCTAGAGAATGGGCATTATTAAATTGGAAAGCATGCAGAAAAGATTTATAAGGATGTTACCTAGACTGAAGGGTTTGGGTTTTGAGGAGATGCTGGATAGACTGGGACTTTTTTCACTGGAGCGTAGATGCTGAGGGATGAATTTGTAGAAGTTTATAAAATCATGAGTAGCATAGATAAGGTGAATAGCCAAAATCTTTTCCCCAGGGTGAGGGAGTCCAAAACTAGAGGGCATAGTTTTAAGGTGAGAGGGGAAAGATTTAAAAGGGACCTGAGGGGCAACATTTTCATGCAGTGGGTGGTGTATATATGGAATGAATTGTCAGAGTAAGTAGAGGTGAGTATAATTACAACTTTACAGGTACATGAGTAGGAAAGATTTAGAGGGATATGGGTCAAAAGCAGGCAAATGGGACTGGTTCAGTTTAGTGAACCTGGTCAGCTTGGATGAGTTGAACCAAAGGGTCTGCTTCTGTGCTGTCTGACTCTCTGATAACACAGGGTGAGATGTGGATTATAGGGCTGGAGCAGGTTGGACTGAAAGTAAAGTTATGAAGGCAATTAAATAAGGTTGAAAATTTGAGGTACTTGGGTGCAAGGAGCCAAAGTAGCCAGCTAAGGTAAGTGTGGAATTTGAGTGGGACTTAACATCATAGAGCAGAGTTTGGGTGATCCAAATTTTATTACAGTAGAAAACAGGAGCATTGAAATTCAAATATAAAGACAAACATGAAAAGATGTGTGTGTATCAGCAGATTGAGATATGACAATAGTAACCACTGTGATGATGAAAATAAATGACATTTGTGGAAGAGCTATTAGGTTAATTGATTAGAACATCAAGATTACAAACAGCCTGGTTTATTCGAAGACAATGAGTTGGAGACTAAATCAAAGACAAGGACTGTGGGAGGAGACAAAAACAATAGCTTCAGTTTCCACCCATTGTTTATTAAAGAAATCTTGGTGAGACTTTAGCAGGCAAAAGCAGGAGGAAGGGCAAGAGGTAATTGAACTTGCTGCCCAGATACATGACTGAATTCCTATTCATTTAGCACTTGACTAAAGCTGTTTCATTTGTGAAAGATGCAAGACAAGATTAGACAGCAACGTGGTCAGGTCAAGCTCATTGGAAGCTCATCTTGCCTCAGCCATTTCTCAAGCTTAGCTGGTTAAAAGGGTTAAAACAGGACAGACTGGAAATTGATAACTAACTGATGTCCAGCTACAGCACCATGAGCCAAACATCAAGTCACAAAATTTAGGAAAGTCTAGCTGCAGCAGAACATCTGAAATAGTAATTGAGAACATCATTTCCTTAATGTGCTTTACCAAATATGTACTTAAAGCAGGAAAATCATACTAAAAAGAACTAACAAACATTATAATGTATGTTACCCACCCTATTAGTAGCTGTTTTGCAGAAAGCTGGAGGTTAGCAGAACAATTTTCAAATGCACAGTATCGCTCAAAATAGGTCTGTTCAAAAAAGTGAGAGTAAATGTAAGAGTAAATATACAATATGTAAAATGAAACATGTCATAAAAGCAAAGCTTATCATTATAATTATATCTGAGACCATAAGCAACAGCTGAAATTTACCGAAAATCCTCATTATCTCCACATTATAGGCTACGGTCGTATTGTGGTCCCAATCTCAATTTCTCAGAACTGGAAGGTGAGAAACAGGACAGCAGGCATGACCCAGCAACACTTTACAGTAGTGTTGGGAAGACAAAAATAATACTCTGGCTCTTATTGACACCAAATTCAGGTATATCAACTTAACTCTTCAGGGGCTGTTGGACGTTTCTTTAAGCATCACTGGCTGCCATTGTTCAAATGGCACATGCTCTGCACATATTTTGTCAAATATAGCATGGATCCTGAAATGGGCATTAAGAGTATTGCAACTTGGGGGCTGTGGTCATGAAATCGTATCTAGTGTACTTTGGAGGGAGGTGGTCAGACACAGGAATAACGTGACTCACAATCAGTCCTGTTAACCCTAAACTACACTTAGCGATCAGTGCAGCACAAACCAATTTCTACCCCAAACTCTTCAGTTGTATCACTGGATGGATAAAAAATATAACTGTATGCAAACCTTATTTCTGACTTCATTCGCTTGGTTTCCTTTTTTCTGCAAAACAGGTTGGAGCGGAAGGAAAGTATCTGCAGATTCTTCATTTGTAATATGTTTTTCCAGGGAATATGATACTTCAAAGTAAACTGCTGTTAAAATATCTCTGACCTCCCTCTTAAAAAAAACACAATTCAGTGAATAATACATTATAAATGTGTACATTTCTATGAATTATATCGTTGCAATAGTGAGCTCAACCAACTAACCAAGATTTAAAGAAAGTGTGTAGTAGATGCTGCAACATCTGTTTTAGGAACAAAAACAAAGTTGCTGGAAAAGCTCAGCAGGTCTGGCAGCATCTGTGAAGAAAAAAATCAGAGTTTACGTTTCGGGTCCAGTGACCCTTCCTCAGAACTGCCAGACTTGCTGAGCTTTTCCAGCAACTTTGTTTTTATTCCTGATTTACAGCATCTGCAATTCTTTCAGTTTTTATTTAACATCTGTTTTAGCCTGCTTAAGAATGAGAGAACATTAAAAAGACCTCTCAAGTATAAATAGGGTCTCAGAATTTCTCAGGGCTGGTTCAGGTTGACTGCCAAAACATCACAGAGGTTTTAAATGGTTCCTTTGTGTTAGGCTTTACTTCTCTGGACAGTTCAAACTTACAGCAGATATTGATAAGATAAATGAAAAAAAAAATTATTTCTTCAGTAAGCCAAAACTAGAGGCATAAATTTACTGCCAAAATATTAGTAATGTTTAAGCTGTTCTTTATTACACAGAAGTCATTCGTAGAATGTGGAATACCTTATTAGAAATAAATGTCTAAAATTAACCTCAAAAAGATAATCAGAGGTGGAGGCATCTTTGGCCTGAAATAATCAGAGAAGACAGACAGCCTGAAAGTTAAATCCATGGGGCAAATCCTTCATGCCAGCTGAAATGTAGTGGTGGTAGGAAAAAGGTAGTGAATGGTGAACTTGACAGCCTGAGGTGATGAGGGGAGTTTCAATCCTAAGAATGAGAGTTGATGAGGATGGTAGGTGAATAAAACAAGTAGATTTGAAATCACAACCACAAACCAATTCCAACGTGTCTGCTTCAGTGTTTAACAAAGGCATGTTTAAAAATACTGCAAATAACTTAGTTCCTGAAGTTGATACTTTAATTAGTGTGAGTTGGTGGGCACTTGTGCCTCAAATAATATCCTCAGGAAGATATCCTTTCAATTGACATTTTTAAAATTTAAAGTCTTCCTGGGGCTTAGGTAACTGGTTAATAAAACACAAATGAAATTGAGCAGCAATTCAGGGATACATAAACTTATCATTGTCCATCTGAATAAAATCTCACTTTCAGTTGTCTCTGACCAAAGGTTTGGCAAAGACCTGATGAGAAAATGTAGATTTTTCTTAACTTTGGAGATTTTAAAAGTGGTAAGTTTAGAGTGAAAGGTGCATTGATCACGTACAGTGGAACACCAGATACTGTACACGACATGCACACAGGAAGGAGATGCACAGACAGTGGCTAACGTCATAGGAGACACTACTCAGGAGTTACAGATGTTCATCATCATTGATCTCTCAGATAGTAGTGCTTTAGGGGAAGCACTTATTGACCTCATTCTTCGTTGACCTTTCACGTTGCAGTGCTTCAGCACCTCTAGGGGAGGTGATATAGTGGTATATTTATTAGACTGTTAATCCAGAGACCCTAGGAATATTCTGCGGATCTGGGTTTGAATCCTACCAATGGCAGATTGTAGAATCTGAATTCAATGAATATTTGGAATTAGGAGTCCAATGATGACCATGAACCATTCTCGACTGTCAGAAAAACCCATGTGGTTCATTAATGTCCTTTAGGGAAGCAAACTGCCATCCTTACCTGGACTTACACATGACTCCAGAACCACACCAATGTGATTGACTTTTGAATACCTTCTGCGCAATTAGGATTGGGTAATAAATAACGGCCTGGCCAGTGACACTCACATCCCGTGAATGAATTAAAAAAACAACTTTCATAGGCTGAGATTGACTTGTCAGATGATGGCAGTTATCTATATTCTCCCACACAAAAACCTATTCCTTGTACTGATCTGGAGGCCATGCATTAGCACTGGCTATGAAAATCACAATGGACCTCAATATTAATTCTTTCTGGTGCACTCCATAAAATACATACAGGGTCACAGACTGCTGCACATAAATGCAAGGGCCAGGTGGGAGATGGATTGTGTTGGGTCTGCAAGTTTATAAAACTTTCCCTATGGTCACAACAGCCAGAACCAGTGGGCATTTGGTTTCGTGTGAGTCTGACGCCAGTCTTAAGGTTTAGATACCTTTGAATTGAAGTCAGCATACATAGAGTGAGTCACAGAGATGTACAGCATGGGGACAGACCCTTCAGTCCAACTTGTCCATGCTGCCCATATATCCTAGATAAATCTAGCCCCATTTGTCAGCATTTGGTCCATATCACTCTAAACCCTTCCTATTCATATATCTATCCAGATGCCTTTTAAATATTGTACTTGTACCAGCCTCCACCACTTCCTCTGGCAGCTCATTCCATGCACGCACCACCCTCTGCATGAAAAAGTTGACTCTCAGGTCCCTTTTAAATCCTTCCTCTCTCACCTTAAACCTTGTCCTCTGGTTTGGATTCCCCCATCCAGGGGAAAAGACCTTGGCTGTTTACCGTATCCTTGCCCCTCATGATTTTATAAACCTCTATAAGGTCAGCCTTCAGCTTCCAATGTTCCAGGGAAATGAGCCCCAGCCTATTCAGCCTCTCCCTACAGCTCAAACCGTCCAAACCTGGCAACATCCTTGTAAATCTTTTCTAAACCCTTTCATGTTTCACAACATCCTTCCTATAGCAGGGAGACCAGAATTGCATGCAGTATTCCAAAAGTGGCCTAACCAATGTCCTGTACAGCTGCAACATGACTTCCCAACTCCTATGCTTAATGCACTGACTAATAAAGGTAACCATATCAAACGCCTTCTTCACTATCCTATCTACCAGCGACTCCACTTTCAAGGAACTATGAACTACTCTCTAAGGTCTCTTTGTTCAGCAACACTCCCCAGGACCTTACCATTAAGTGTATAAGTCCTGCCCCGATTTGCCTTTCCAAAATGCAGCACCTCACATTTATCTAAATTAAACTCTTTCTGCCACTGCCATCCCTCAGCCCATTGGCCCATCTGATCATGGTCTCCTTGTACTCTGAGGTAACCTTCTTTGGTGTCCACTACACCTCCAATTTGGTGTCATCTGCAAACTTACTGACCAAAATCTCCAACGTTCCCATCCAAATCATTTATATAAATGATGAAAAGCAGTGGACCCAGCATTGATCCTTGTGGCACACCACCGGTCACCAGCCTCAAGTCTGAAAAGCAACCTTCCACCATCACGTTCTGCCTTTTATCTTCGAGCCAGTTCTGTATCCAAATGGCTAATTCTCCCTGTATTCCATGTGACGTGTCTGAGATATTTATAATTCAGTCACCAGCTATCAGTAAATGCCGTCTCTCCAGCTCTGACTGAGAACAGCTCCGATTTCTCCATTTATTTCAATGTACACCATCAAACAACCTGACAGAGGATACACATTGCTTGGTTGACAATACCTGCCTTGAACTTTGTTACCCTTCGGTCAGGTACAGATTAAAGGCAATGTTAAAGCTTGCACTAGGGTTATCAATTGTGCAGTGTTTATATTTCTATTTCTCCTCCATTAATACATTATTGACATAAAAGCAGAAATTGCTGGAAAAACTCAGCTGGCATGGCAGTATCTGCGGAGGACAGAAACAGACCTAATACCTCAAATCGACCTTTTATCAGACATTATTGACAATGTGTTTGAAAGGATGACAAGTATAAAACCTATCCAAGCATCATCGATGCCTCACACTGCCTGCAGCAACATATGACACAGAAAGAATAAAAGACTGGTTCATTATGGAAAGGATATTATTAAGCTGGAGGGGGTTCAGAGAGATTTACCAGGATGTTGCCAGATATGAAAGGTTGGAGTTATAAAGGCTGGAACTTTTCTCATTGGATCATAGGACGTTGAGAGGCAACCTAATAAAAGTTTATAAACGAATGAGAGGTATAGATAGAGTTAATGGTTGTTATCTTTTCCCTAGGATGGGGAATTTCAAGACTAGGGGGCACATTTTTAAGTAAAAGGAGATAGACTTAAAAAAGACACAAAAGGCAAAATTTTTTTATCTAGAGGGTGGTTCAACTGTGGAATGAACTTCCTCAGGAAGTGGTGGATGTAGGTGCAATTACTAAATTTAAAAGACATTTGGATAATTACATGAATAGGAAGGTTTGGAGGGATATGGGCCAGGAGCAGACAGGTGGGACTAGTTTAGTTTGGGATTATGTTTGGCATGGGCTGGTTGGATCGAGAGGTCTGTTTCCGTGCTGTATGACTCTATGACTACATTAGTGATCTGGACTATTTGTAACAGCCTACAACCAGACCACTGATTCTTCCTTACATTTTGCATTTTCTTTCACACGAAGGGTGGAAGAAATACACATGCGAGCAAAGGACAGATATTCATCTGATGGATGTAGTGCATTTGATGAGGGTAGCTATGAGCCAAATGGAGCACCCTGTGCAAGAGCTGGGGAGATTGACAATGGTGAATTGGTAACTAGGGAAGTGTTGAATGGCAAAGAGTATAAAGGCTTTGCTACTGAAATTTTAGTGGATGGGAGGACTATTGTGATGGAGTATGCTTGGTAGGCAAACAAAACCATGGCTAGTGGATTTAAAGCACAATTGAGAGTCTTTTTTTTTGCTATTTATTCATTCACAAGATGTGAGTGTCACAGCCTAGGCCAGCATTTACTGCCTGACCATAAATGCCCAGAGGGCAGTTAAGAATCAACCACATTGCTGTGAGTCTGCAGTCACGTGTAGACCAGACCAGGCAGGAATGGCAGTTTGCTTCCCTAAAGGGCATTAGTGAACCAGAGATGTCTTTTTTTGACAATCAACAACAGTTTCATGGTTTTAGACTCTTAATTCCAGCCTTCTTATTGAATTCAAATTCTACTATCTTCCACAGCAGGAATTGAACGTGATTCCCCAGGTCATTATCTGGGTTCCTGGATTAAAAGTCTAACAATAA